GAAATTTGTTTTAAAGAATTTATTGTTTACATTTTTAAAACTTTCAAATTATAAAATACAAAAAAAATTTAATTATAGTTATTCATTTTACTTATCTTTTAACTAAACTTTAAATTTATTTGAAAATGATACATTACATAATTACTTAAAAATTCACCTAATTTAAAAATTCACATAATTACTTAATTATATTGATGCATTAAAGATTATATTTTTATATCACATAATTATTTAAAAATTCACATAGTTACTTAATTATATTGATACATTAAAATTTTTATTTATACATCACATAATTAATTAATTAAATTGTTACATTAAAGACATTGTTTACTTAATTTACATAATAGTTTTTAGTTTTTATTCTTCACACTATAAAATAATGTCAGCTGAAATCGAAGTTGTATCCATCTAGAAAATATTGAAAACTAAAAGATTATTTACAACATTAAAAATCATTTTAATGAATAAAATAGAATTTCAAAGCATTGATGTTTGAAAAAAGCTAGATGAATAAGTTTTTTGAGTGCTAAAAAGGATGTGACTTTAATAATTCATGCAAGATTGTTATTTTGTTGATTGAATGAGGGAGTTTGAAATTGGTTTAAAAAGTTTGGTAGCAGGTTAATCAATAATAAAAATTTGATTCAGGATCTTGACTAAAATACAGAGTAAGTTCAATAAAAAAATCCAGATCTATAACCAGAATATGACAATAGTATTCCATATAAAAACAAATAAGGGATTAATAGAGGTTAAATGGAATCAAGAGTGAGGAAATGGCAAGCACAATATAGTGATGCAACCATAGAACATGGATTAGAACATTTGAGCATGGCTTAGAACAAAACATGCTTTGAACAACCATAGAACATGCATAGAACAATCATAAACATGGACTGGATTTATGGTTTCCATGCAAGGCTGTTAGTGAAAATTAATCCATGAAGACATTCAGTTGTTGTCATTCATCAATATCATAGCAACAATATTACAATAGTTATTAAAACATTTCTTTTATATTAAAATTTACCACCACTGTGGCCAAACTGTCACAACCACTGTCCCAAACTGTCACAAAAAAATGAATAATAGAAAGAAAAAAGAAAAGAAAAAAAGATTGGTTTTCTATTTTATCAAAATTGACTTTTATTAAAACTAAAATATATAGTTGTCCCCAGTAAATAGAGGCAATTTGTAGGTGGATACTTCCAGGTCAATTCAGCTTATATAAGTTTTTCTTTTCTTTTTTTTTTTTCCTTTTGTTTTAAAATGTTTATTAATTTAAACTAAACAGTTTTTAAGGGAACTTTTATTATTTAGGTAAAGTTGTGTGAGTTTTGTTCAATGCCTTTTTATCACTGCATTTGTTAAATTTACATAGGTAAGCCAGGGAAATTTCATTTTAGTCAGGGAAAATGAAATCAAAAATTGTCTGGCCAACCTGAGTAAACATGATTTTTACATATTATTTGTTTCAGGGTATACCTGTAGACATTATTTACTTAGATTTTGCTAAGGCATTTGATTTTGTGCCCCACATTTACATTTTTTTTACAAGGTTTACAAGGTTTTTTACAAGGTTTTTTACAAGGTTTTACAAGATTTACAAGGTAAAACTTAAATGTTTTGGAATTTCTGGTACATTGTTGAAATGGATTGAAGCATTTTTAAAAATAGAAGACAAAGAGTTATTATGGTAGAACATGTCTCATCTTGGAAGGATATATTTATTGGTAAATGGCTCTTTTATTTACCCTTACTTTTGTAACTTATGTTAATGATTTGCCTGATATTTTTGTAAATATTTTAAAGATGTATGTCTATGATGCAAAAGTATTATCAGGGATTGATTCTATAATAAGTTTTTATTTTCTGCAAAATAATCTAAAGAAAGCTGTCAACTGGTTAAATAAATTACTTTTAAATTTTAATTTTTAGATATTTTTAATTATGCACCTTGGCAAAAACAACCCAAAAAGAATTTGTTTTATTCAAAATATACATTTAAATACTGAAAAAGTTGCTGAAAAGATCTTGGTGTAGTATTTACCTCTGACTTGTAATGGTAAATTATAATGGTCTATGTACAAGTAAAGCAAATAAAGCTTTGAGTATGTTGAGGAATACATTTCTAGGTTTCAACAGTGAATTACTAAAAATTATATAGACAAGTAATGTTAGACAATTAATTGAATTTGCTGTATCTGTGTGGTCTCCATATCTCAAGATTAAAATTAATATTTTAGATAAGGTTCAACATTTTGCTACAAGATTGATATCGCCACTAAAAAGCTATGTTAATAGAAAAGGTTAGATAAGTTGGGGCTCACTATTTTGGTTATAAAAAGAATTAGGGGCAATTTATTTCATGTATACAAGACATTCTTATAGAATTGAAAAAGTATTTTTAACCAAAGAAGTTTTGCCTAGAAGTTATCAACCAGCAAAAGGTCATCAAATAATATATAATTATGAAATAACTAATTTTTTGCCTAAACATTTTTTTAACAAACAGAGTGTCTTTGTTATTGGAATTGACTACTGATGTTGTTAATTCTATTTCTGTGAACTTTTTTAAACTTGACAAATGAATTTTAAATTATGTAACTATGTTGATTAATTTTATGTAACTATTTTGAATAACTATTATGTAACTATGTTGAATAATTATAATGTAACTATGTTGAATAATGTAACTATGTTGAATAGTTATAATGTAACTATGTTGAATAATGTAACTATGTTAAATAATGTAACTACATTGAATAATTATAATGCAACTACAGTCGACTCTCAATATCTCGAATACTTAATGTCTCGGACTTTTGAGTAACTCAAACTTTTTTAGCTGTCACATGGACATAACGTACTAATTTAGGCTAATATCCTTTCGATATCCCAAACCTTAATATCTCAAACTTTTTGGTATCTCGAACAATATTTTTGGTCCACAGGGCAATTTTCTCGTTATCTCGAACTTTTCAACATTTTTTTTTCAAGAAATGTTTTGATAACATGTAATTTTTTTAAATTCCAATTTTTGAAAAGAAATTTTTTTAAATTCGATTTTTTTTAAGAATCGAATTTCTGAAAAGTATTCCTTTTATATTAATTTGTTAAAAGTATTCCTACTATATTGATTTATTTTTTCTGTCAAATGCAACAACATGCTGCTCGTTAAACAAAAACTCGCGAACAAATCTATAATAGAAAAATGCTTGTTTCTTTGTGGAATGCTGTGTCAAAGGAGACACTCACCAAATTATTGGTTTAAATTTTGCCTTTTTTTAAACCGAGTTATCTTGTTTAAATATACTGCCTAAATATACAAAAATATTTTGCTATTGTTAGATAGTAGGAATATATCAGAGATAATATTTTACTATTACTGCTATTGTTAGATAGTAGTAATATATCAGAGATAATATTTTACTATTCCTGCTATTTTTAGGTAGTAGTAATATATCAGAGATAATATTTTACTATTACTGCTATTGTTAGATACTAGTAATATATCAGATATAATATTTTACTATTACTGCTATTGTTAGATAGTAGTAATATTTTACTATTACTGCTATTTTTAGGTAGTAGTAATATCAGAGATAATAATTTACTATTACTGCTATTGTTAGATAGTAGTAATATTGATATATTAGATAATATTTTACTATTACTGCTATTTTTAGATAGTAGTAATATATCAGAGATAATAAACAATAAAAACTTTTTAAGATTACTTAGCTTAAATAAAGCAGTAAAAAAACTTTTTAAATAAAACAGTAAAAAAACAGCCCCCATAAAAACAAAGTAAAAAAATAACCCCCATAAATACTATAACTGTATTCAAACCCCCATTCAAAATTATATGGTACTAGACAAAAAAAAAATTTAATTAATTTTTAAAATTTTACCAAGTATTTTAATGCCAAACTAAGTTTGCTGATTTTTTAAGGACGCTTTACCGATTCAATTTTAGTTTTAATTGCCAGTACCTTTTCTTCTTTCTCAAATTCTATTTTTGTTATAGCATTAATAATGAATACAGAAATAAATTATTTTAAAAAATGTGAATAAAAAATGCAAAAAATTAAATATATTATATATTAATATATAATAAATAGTGCAGTATTTTGGAAATACAAAAAAACTAATTGCTTTAAAACATTCAAAACATTTAATTTTTTTGCTTTTCCAAAATACTGCACTATTTATTATTATTTTTTAATAAATTTAACTTAATATGCTTTTAGACAAAAGGAGACACATTAGCTGTAGTGTGCCTCCTTTTGTCTATAAATACATTTACTAATTTGTTATTTATTTTTTATTATTTATAAATTTGTTATTTTTGAAATATACACTTTAAGGTGTATTTTTCAAAAAGATAGAATACCAAAAGATGCATCTCCTGATGTATATTAATACTTGTTCTGTTAGTAGCTTTTGGAAAAGTTACAGGGTTTGTGTTAGGCATTGTTATTTGGTGCATAAGCTTGAGCTTTCGCTACAAAGGTTCGTGTTTTCACTAGCTGTTTTGTTTGCAAAACAATTTTGAGCAAAGTTTACAAACTATTTGGTGCTAAGAAATATTTTAAACTTTATCTTTGTTTTCCTCCTGTTATGAAAACCAGTCCAATAATTTTACTAAGATACCAGACTACTTCTCTGTATCTCCTTATTTAACTATTTATGTTGCTTTCAGGAGGATGATATAAAAAAAAACAAGATTTATTATGAATGTAAAAAAAGACAATAAAAAAGGTTTTTTTTTTATCAACTAGAAATACAAGAACCATTTTTGTTTGTCTTTTTTTAATTTGTTGTTATAACTTTTATTGTTTGTTTTTTTAACATTGTTTTTTTGTTTTATTTTTTTTCAATAACAAAAATGTATATTTCATGTATATTTTTTTAATGACTAGTTATTACAATGATGACATCATTAAAACAAATAACTTATTATTGATGATAATAAAAATATTAAATATGTTTAGACACCAAGATATTCAAAAAGATTTGTCTCTAAATCACACAAGAGATCATTCTTTTATAGAAGAAAATGGTATAAATACAAGTATTTATGGTAATCATGATAATGTGTCACCTAATTCTATTAACATGTTAAAGGTTTTAAATTTTTTTTCTTTTTTTTGTTGATAATAATTTGTTTTTATTAATTGCATTTATTGGCAATTGCAGCAAATCCGCATATGTTCATGGTTGATGGAGGTTAGGTCATGGTTAGGGTTGTTGATGGGTTAAAGTTAGGTCATGGTTAGGGGTATTGATGGGTTGTGTTTAGGTCACATTTAAAGTTAGTTTTTTTAATAAATTAATAAACTTTTATAAGGGTAAATGAAATAAAAAAAAAGTTTTTTTAAAAAAATTTAATAGAAAATTTAGTAAAAAATTATAACGAAAAAAAAAAATAGAAGTAAATATATGATGAGGACAAACTAACTTATAACTAAACTAAAAATATATATATTGTATATGCAAAATATATATATATTGTATATATATTTTTTGGTTATTCAAAATTAATTGTTAAACTGTAAGCGCAAGCATATAGCAGAGTCCTTGGCCTTGGTCTTGGCCTTGGCCTGGCCTTAGTTTTGAATATGTTGGCCTTGGCCTTGAAAATTTTGGCCTTGGCCTTGATTGTTTTGGCCTTGGCCAAAAAAAATACATATTTTTTTAATGATTTTGTTGAATTCCGCACATAAACTTAGTCTATTTTTAAAAAATGTGGTTTTATTTTCACAGTACTTGCTACTTACAGTTTTGTGAAGAATTGGCCTTAACATATTGCAAAAATTGAAGTCTCAAGTCTAAAAACTTTGCGTACGTTTTGGCCTTGAAATTCTTAACCTTGGCCTTGACCTCAAAACTCTTGGCCTTGGCCTTGTCCTTGGCCTTTTAACTTTTGGCCTTGGTCTTGGCCATGTAACTTGCGACCTTGGCCTTGGTTTTGCTACTTTTGGCCTTGTTAACAGCTCTGGTATATAGTATATGGACATTTTCTCCATAACTTAACAAGTTTGATGCTTATTTATGAAAAAATTTGTTTTTTTAGCAGTTGTTTGTTGAGTTTGTATCTAAACTGTTTTGCTTGTTTAAATGTGGGAAAATCAACAGGAAAATTGTTTTAGTCAAATCTTAAAAAAATATTTTTTAAAACTACTAAAAACTAATAGTTGTTCTTAAAACAAATTTTTCTGCAATATAATTTAAAATATTTATTTTTATTTATATCATTGTTTTAAAAAAATTCAAAATTTTCTTATTTTGTTATCTACTCTTGTAGAATTTATTATTTATAAATGAAAATGTAATAAAACATAAATATTCAATTTTTAGGTGTGCAGTATGGAAAATATAGAAGAAAGCCAAATTGATCATAAAACAAATGGTTTTTATAACAACAAAAATGATAAAAGCAAGCAGATGAGAAGTTTAAATGAAGTTTATAGCGAAGTTCATTATCAATCAAAAAGTATTTCAAATCAAATAAAGAATAACAATAATGGAAAAATTGAATTTGATGAAAGTTTAGACTCTGCAAATGGAACTAATACAAAAATTGATTTAAATGACAACTTAAATCTTAAAAACTTAAGTATGCAACATGGCTTAAGTATGCTTGAGTTTTTTCACAATTGTCAGTATAACAGTGATACTAAAAAATACTTGTTGACACAATACAAACTTCTTTCAGAACTTGAAAGCATTGAAAAAACAATAGATTTGAGGCTGAAGTTAATAGATAAAAAGCTATCCGGTATGTGAAATTTATTATAAAGAAAAAATGTTTTATGAAAATTATTATATTGATCTGTTACAAAGCTTTTTAAAACATATAAATATAGAATCCTTTGATTATTGGTTAGCATATAATAATGTTGATCGTAGCTTATGATCAAATCATAAACATTATGCTAATCTATAATAGCTTAGCTAAATCTAGACCAAAAAATAAATTTAGTTATTAGGTACTATTTGTTTTATGGTACTATTTATATGCTTATAATAATTGGGTTGATTGCTATGCCATGTGGTATTTAATCATTAATTAAACACTTGAAAAACTTAATTTTAAACTTGAAAAATAATCAAAAAATACATTACTTCAAAAATTTATATTTTAAATTTATTGCACTGTTGGTTTATTGGAATTTATTGGTAACTTAGTGTAGCATTAGTGGAATCTGCTATAAGTTGCCAGTCTATAATTTTTTAATAGTGGTGTAGTGGCTAGTCATTAGCTAGCCACTTTTTAAAAAAAAAATTCTTGAAGTTTTTGTTATAATTAGTGTTTGATTGGCAGTTATTTGTGCAGATTAGTTAATAAATAGATGCATCTTTGCTGAATGTAAACAGTTTTGTTGAATGATAACTTGCTTGAGCAGGGGTAATTTGTAGAAAAGATAAATTGATGTAACTTTATGACAGTGGGTTAACCTTAGCAACTTGAGTACAACTACTATAATGTAATGTATATAACTTAAAAGTTTTGGGATCTTGTCTAAAAGAAAAAGAACATTAGTACAAAAAATATGAAAACAGTATTTTATCCAAGGATGAATAAAAGGTGCTAAAAATAGTGAGCACAATTACATGACATCTTAATGATATTTAAAAGGTTACAGAATAGGTACCTTTAACTGTAAAAAAAAAATGTACTTAACATCAGTTAAGGTTTTAAAAAAACATGTTTGATTAATGTGAAGTCTAAGATAGTAAAAAATAATTTTTTACTTCAAAAGTGAGTAGTATCTTTAATACATAGTTGTGGCCAAAAGTTTGTAGTCACTTTATTATTTATATAAGCATTTCATTTTATATTGTGATAAAAAAAAGTTTACTTATAATAATACATACCAAATGTTTTATACTATTAATTAACAACTACAATAATTACAATCTCATGATTATACTGTGTACTTTATTATATTGTGCCTTGGACTTCAGAACAGTCTAGCAACTGTTCTGTTCTGACTTTGATTAGGCATGAAAAAGACAATGGCGTCTATTAACGTTTTCTCTGACATTGGATGTTCTCGACTAACCTTCTGCTTCATCATTGGCCACATGTTTTCCATCGAGTTTAAGTCCCAACTAGAGCCAGGCCATGAACCAAGCAACTAGATTCCTTCTTCCTGCAACCTGCATCTAACAGCTGCTGTCTGGTGGCAAGGTGCGCCATCATGCTGAAAATGGGTACAGGAGTGTATTGCCATATATGGGTCAAACATTTCTCTCAAAGTATCCAGGAAAACTTGCCCATTAATTATCATATTCTTCTGCATAAACCAAAGTGCCAGATGCGCAAGAGCTGCCCCATACTTTTGGGCATGTTTGACCATTGGGGTCATATATTTTGTGTTGTACTTTTGGTTGATGCATTTGGTTGTTGCGTTTGGTTGTAACATGTGTACTGAGTTAAGGTCATCAGAAAACATGACCTTCATCCTTTAATCTTCCATCCAGGTCTTGTACAGCTTTTAAAATATCAAGCAATCTTTGACATTCTTCTTTGATAACTTTGCTTTTTTTAGCAGGCTTACGTAAGGGCAGCTTAAATTCAACTAGCAGATGCCTAATATTGCTGCCTGGATACAAGCATGTATTTTGGGCAGCAATATTGATCAAAGACATGTTTTGATGAGCAACCACAGTTCTTTGGATAAGCCTTTCAGTTGCTGCTAATGTCACTCAAGGTCTACCAGAGCGTTCTCGAGATTTGTAACTTTCCAATATGGCTGTCCTGGTTAAAATCTTTGCACAGATTCACAACGACTAGGACACGTTGAGAATCTGTGCAGTTTTTTGTCTGGACATGTTTTGCTGGCTTGTATAATAAACCTGAGCCTGTTGGACAGTTGTTAGCTCTTTAGAACATTTCACATTAATTTAATTTAAATTTACTGTTTATATATGTATTATTTGTTTTCATACATTTTATTATCTTGCAAATTATTTATAAAATGATAAAGAGAGTTCTAATTTAATTAACTAAATTAATTAAAAAGCTCATTCATTTTCATCAGACATACCTCTGTAATCTTGCAGCTGGTCTGAACCAGACATACCTCTGTAATCTTGCAGCTGGTCATTTCAAATGAACTTCTACTGACACAGAAAATAAAAAACAGAAAATGAAAACAGAGAACAGCAAAATATTCAATAACAGCCTACTAATCACAAAGTTATTTACTGACAGTTATGGCTTGTGATTGGCGTGAATAAGTTATGCATTACCGCCTAGAAATAGTGTATGTGATGTCTATTGACCTCTCAATTTTTTTGAATACAGAAATATTGAAAATAGTTGATAAGTAATTGCTAGTGATCCCTAGTGTTCAAGAAATTAACAACTGCATGTACTTTTAATTATGTTGGGTCAATAATATCAAAATCATTAAAAATTATGAGTGGTTCCAAACTTTTGGCCACGACTGTGTGAGGGTAGGGATTCTGCCCTGGTTGTATAGAATGTGTGATAAATATAGGTAAATGGTTTTTTATAGTAAAATAAATAATTCAATTATTTATTTTTTGTACACATTAATACCTTAAAATATCATGACTTTTTTTTTCATTTTTTAGTTAGAGACTAAATCCATTTTGCCCAAACCATTTTAATTATTATATTTATATTTTGCTCTCAGAGAGGCTGATTCCATCAACATCTGTAAAATATCAGAGTACTAACATTGGGGTGTTGCGCATAGATGGTGTCCCTGTTCCATACTTTTGGTGTGCATTGTTTAGGTTTTGTCGATTTTGAGCCCTTTCTTATGGTTTAGGGTTTATTTATAGTATTGAGGCAATTGCTTAGATTATTAAATAATGTACTGAGTATTATCTGTGCTTTGAGTAAAGTGGTGCTAAATTAAAGCACAATAAAGAAGAGTCTGTGGATTCAAACCTAGGAAACTAGGTTTGAATCCACAGACTTTTCTTCTATATGCTTTCGTTTAGCACCATTTCACTCTTACACCTTTCACTTTGTTCTATATTGCTCTCCTTCATCTCAAGACTGTATCTTTTTCGATCAGAAACAACATTTTTTTAATGTTATTTCTGATCAAATTGACGAAGCCTTCTCTTTTTATCCTTCAGCCAATATCGTTGTTGTTGGTGATTTTAATGTTCATCATATTGAATGGCTTGGCACAAATGTCAGTGACTCTGCAGGCATTAAAGCCAACAACTTTTGCATTTTTTAATCTCTAACTCAAATAGCCAACTCCAACTTGCTTTTCAGACAATTCGAATCATTTACCTTTTACAACTACCTTAAAGCTGACTGAGACTCTTTCAGTAATTTTTTTTCGTTATGACCCTTGTGTAGAATTCTTTCATTTTCCTGTTAGTACTGTAGAATTTATTTTAACATGTTTAACAGTTTAACATGAAAAAAATGTTTATGAAACTGAAAAACATAAAAATAGACACTTAAAAGGAAAGTTATTAACTTTTCTAAAATAATTATAAAGGCGCAATATATTTCCGTTTCTTCTAGAGAAAACAGCCTTACACTAGAAGTAAAATTCGGCTACGATGGAAGTGGTGGAAACAAAATTTACAACCAATTGCACAATGTTAACACAAGCAACATTATTATGGCAATGTTTTGTCCACTTAAAATTTTAAATCATGAAAGTATTAGATTGTGGGAACAGCAATACCCTAACTCTACTAAGACCCTAACTCAGAGTCTACTCAAAGGCCACTTATGATTCAAATGGGGAAAGAGTCAAATGCAAATATCCAATCTCTTTCTTTATTTAACAAAGACATACAGTGTATGAAGGAAGACGGAATTATTGTTGAGCATAATTAGAATGATAACCATGTTAAAGTAAACATTGTCGCTCATAGTTTGGACAGAAAGGCTTCAAATATTTATCAAGACCTTGGAGTTCATATTGTGATCTTTGTGACCTTTCAAAAGAACAATGTGAAAATATATAAATAGTTCAAGATGGTTTCATCATAAACAGGGATGTTAAATTCATGCAACAAATATTAAAAAGTAAAAGAGGACGGGACCATTTAAAAAAAAGAAGGATTAAGAAATTCGAAACGGTCGAACTTCATGTCCAATTGCATGTTCGAATGTTAGGTCCATTCAGGTTTTACATGGTTTGCTCAGGAGCTTTGATCATTTTATGAAGGTAGTTGTTCGCAGAGCGGCAAGTGTCTTAACTTGAAAAGAATCTAAGATAAACAATAACACGACATTGCTGAAAGAAGAAAAAGCAAGACTACAAGAGATTATCCGAGTTAAAACAGGAATAAAATGGGATTTTGCAGAATCAACTGGACAAGAGGGCAATACAATAACTGCAAATGATGCCAGAAAACTTTTACATAATAATGTAATGCGAAAGGTTATTACAGATCATATATCAAGTCAAACTGACTGCAAACTAGTTGAAAAGTATGGCTTGCTTCTTTCCACTATTCTGAGAGCAATGTCGTCTGGCAAAAAAATTAATATTGAGCTATACAAACAAATGTGTCAGGAGCTAAACATCTTGCTTCTACAAGAATTTTATTGAGTAAGTATAACTCCAACGCTGCACAAAATTTTTGCTCATAGATGATAGAAATAAGCGATTCCACCAGTTTGAAATCTTGGAGTGAAGAAGGAATGGTAGCTAATAATAAGCGTCTCAGATTCTTCAGGGAAAAACTATCAAGAAAAATTAATCAATTGGTCAATATACAAGATTGCTTCAAAAGACTTTGGCTAGGGTCTGACCCATTAGTTGCAGAAGAACGGACAAAGTGCTGGTATTTTGCAAAGACTGCTTGGATAGAGAGCATTCTAAACGCTCATGTATGCGCAGAAGTGCATCAGCTGATGATATTTCGAACAATCTTTTTGTTTGTAAATAAATTACTTTTGTAACATGTGTATTTGTTAATTTTTCAAAACCAAGTTCTTAGACTTTAACCTTAAAATGGCAATTTTAAAACTCTTTTTTTTTTAACCGCTAATGGGGGCAACTTAAGCATAGCAGCAAATGAAAGCTTTTATTTTATATTTCGGAAATCATATAAGGTTTAGTATGGCACCATTAGCGGTTTTTGAGATATTCACCGAAATGTTCAAAAACTATAACAAAATTATGTGCAAAAATTCACAGTTTGTATATAAATTTTATGAAAATTATCCAATTTTCTTCCTAAAATACTATTATTATTAGCCAGAAAAATGTTTTTTTATGTAGGCTCTTTATCCCTTATTGTTAAATAATAATTTTCCAAGTTTTAGATCTTTTTTTTTTTTTCATCACTTTTTTCCGAGTATACTCAAAAACTCTGTTGGATTTTAAAGAGTGTTTTTTCTTCCAAATTGTTCAAGTTTGCATGGCCGTAACTTTTTAAATAGACAAAAATTTTTACTTTTTTTTTTATAGCTTAAATCTGCTTGCTAATTAAGTATACAAAAATTATGTTAAATTTTAATTTCAAAAAATTAAATATTTCACTTATGTCCACCATTTTAAGTGTGCATTATCACGCCACTTAGCCTTTAAATGCTTAATAAAAGATATATACTTGAACTTAATTTTTCATGTTGTTATTATTTATTTTTAGAACAAGATGACTCGTTACAATTATAAACCGTTTATAAACCATTACTAATGGTTTATAAACATAATAACATTATAAATGTTTTGTGAACGTAAATGTTTTTCTTATAGAATCTAAGACAATTCTAAAACCTTTTGATGCTAAATACAGCCACGTTTTCAAAACGTTTTGAAATCGTGGCTGTACTCATTTTTTCAAAACGTTTTGAAAACGTTGCTGTACTCATTGTGTTAATATTTTCCGTAAGTAAATCTTGAGCTTTTTTTTTTGTATTTCTTTAGAAATTGAAATGGAATACGATATTATAAATCAAAAAACTGTTTTAAATGAAATTGTTGGTGTGACAAACCTGTCAAATCTTCTTTCGTATTTACATTCGAGAAAATGGAACCGTGTTATTGATGTTATTTCCTCAATTCAAGAGATATAGTAAACCTTATAAAATTGTATTTATGTTTTTTTATTTAAATATAACTCTTGTCCGTATAAATGTAAATATTTAGTAAAATATTAAAATGAAAATTATCTCATAAAAACAGAAAACATGAGGTATAAAAATTAAATTGAATAAAGTAAAACAAAAAAGAAAAGTTTGAAATAGTTTTAAATCTTTGGTTTTCAAGATGTTGTTTATCTGAAAAATAAATTTATGATAAAATAGTATGTATTATTGACTGTAAAACATGGTGGATGTAGTGTTAAGTTGTGTAAAACATGGTGGATGTAGTGTTAAGTTGTGGGGCTGTTTCAGTTAAAATGCCACAGATAACTTTGTGAAAATAGAGATAGTAATGACAAAAGTAGTTTACACAAGTAAACTACTTTTGTCATTACTATCATTCTTTCAGAAAGTGTAGCATAATTGTTTAAGTGTACAAACACTTAAACAATTATGCTACACTTTCTGAAAGATGGGTTAATGAGAAGCTATTCATTTTTTCAGAAGAAAATAACTTGAAGCTTTAATCTAAAACATATTTTTCAAAAGGTTCTTTAAGTTATTTAACTGAGTTAGAGATATGAGATCGAGAACGATCAAGTATTAAATAAAACGACTTAACCTCCCCAATCACAAGAGATCTCTCCGATAAAAATCTGTCAGATTTTTATGGGAGGAATAAAAATAATGTTAAAAATTAATGCCTAATGATGCATAAAATGTGGGAAAAACTTTATTAGTTAGTGGCATAAAATTGACTTCGACAAATTGGATAAGTCGTTGTGTAGAATGCCAAGAAGGATTATAGCGGTTATTGTCGCTAAGGGTGATTAAAAAGCAAGTCAATTATAAATTAATCTAATCGGACTTTATACTATTGTTTTTGTAAACCTAATAAAAAGGAAGATAACATAATTCAGGTAAATTTTGCTTACAGTTTCTCTCCGAATAGTAAGTAAAACAAAGATATCTTATATCGAAAAGTACGACCATTTGAATAATTATGGACGGTAGTGTATGTATTTAGGCGGCAAGATTTTATATGTAAGCGCGTTAAAAATTTCAAAATTTTAGATTTTAATTATGGGTACGGTCTTTAAATATTTTTCAATAACAACCTTATATTTGTAGTTTTAGAGAAGGGGTTGTCCATAAACAACGTAAAATAAAATTACAAAACAGAAGAAGGAGATATTAAGCTCTTTTACTCGGCAATTTTCATTAAATTTAAATGCTTTGATTTTTTATTTAAATTAAAACTCTGCGAATCTAATCTTTTCTTTTACTTAACATGAACTCTGATATTGTTGTTTAACCTCCTCCGGCTAATTGCCATATAGAGGTCACTTTACCAGAAGTCCGCAAAGACTAGTTGAGCTCCCGAAGAAGCGTCATACCCGCTCTACGGACTGAGAGTAAGGTGAGTTTTGGAAGAAGGAAGATATGTTAAAGTGAAAGATAGAAGTTGTCGAGTTAAAAGATAGCATAGAGTAAGCGGACAGGATTGCACACGATGTTAGAGAGTGCAATATATACTGTTATACTCCTAACTAATGTACGCCGACAAAATTGCGATTGGAGTTCACATTTTATGAGCTCTTCCTCGACTTTCTTTGTCGTCCAAGGGACACATAAAAACTAACCTTTTATATAGAAATTTGCTTTTAAACTGCTTACGTATATTGTATTTTTTCCCGTCAGTCGGCTAATTGCCTTAGTTATATAAAATAAATCGTGTTAACAAAGACCCGTAAGAAACCGCATAATATATAACCGTTTTACAAAGATTTGTAAAAAATCATGTTAAATGTTTTCTTTTCAAAATAAGATTTAAGTTTGTTATAATAAATTTCCACAATTTAAGTTTCCAATAAAATATTTCCACATTCGCGATTGCGCGCGTAAGCGTTATATCCGTACAATATAAATTTAATAGTATTAGAATGAGGATATTCAGAAGGGTAAAGTTGATCTAAAATGTCTAATAAAAATAGTATCAAAGGTTGCATTTTTCTACAGGCATACATACATACATAGAGGTATAGTCGTATGGGCTATATTTTCATCATGCGCTTTGCACTGTGGGCATAATTTGTCTTCACTTATATTTAAATATAAGTGAAGACAAATTATGCCACAGTATAGCAAACAAAAAAGTAAACTTTATTATACCAAATTATTATTATTATTACACCAAAATAACAAACTTTATTATACCAACAAATAAAAATATGTTTAGCAGAAATATTTCTGCTAAACATATTTTCATTTGTTGGCATAATAAAGTTTGCTATTTTAAATAGAATATCGTTTGCTTTTTTGTTTGTAGTTCTTTTATTTATTTTTAAAAAGAACTGTTTCCAGTCATCGTTGCATAGCGTTTGCATGCTACTTATATTGCTTACTGCCCATTTTTTATATTTAAAGTTTAATGGGTTTTTCGGCTTATTTAGAAGTTTATACATAATTTAAACTGTAATATTTTTACAATCATATTTTTTATTTTCGTTTGGCTAAATAAATAATGGGGAGCTTTTTATACTATTATTAAAAAATATAAGTTGACTTAAAATTTCCTCAATTTCAATTATCGGAAAATTATAAGTTGTTTTTACTTCGTGCCAATTTTTTAAAAGCTGCGAATAAAATGGCAGAAGATTTTCTAATTGTGTGAGAACGGTGTGGAAAATTTATTTTGATTAGATTTTCTATGAGAGTTTATAATATGCAGCATAGGATTTTTCCATGGTCCTTCTGCATTTTGATCAGTTTGGAAACCCACTGCATTTGGATTGCCTTAAGTTAAGTTTATTTGTTAAGCTTACGATCCCGAGACCGCCATTTTTAATTTTTTGTTGTGTTATTTGTATATGTAGCCTACACAAAGATTTCCCACCCCATTGAAAATTATTTATTTTTGTTTCCATTTTATTTAAAACTGTTTATTAGGTAAAGGCACAATAAACGCCAAGTGTGTTACTTGTGGAATTACCAGAGTGTTTATTTTTTTTTCCCCTTTAACGATAATTTATGATTATTTCATTTGTGTTTTTTATTTTCAGAAAATATTCACTCCAGTACGTCCAGTAAGAAAAAGTGTTCAAGCTTATAAAAGTTTTGAAGGAGGTTTTACTCCATTCAAATTTTAGATTTCTTTATCTTTAAATCTATTTTGACCCAGCCATATGCCTTGACATTTGGCTAAGTTTATTTTAGCACCTGTTGCTTTTTTATTAAGTTTTAGAGCTTGGCCGACTTTTTTTTATAGATTCATCTCCTTTTAGATAAAAGTTAGTATCATCAGCGTATTGCTGAACTTTGGTTTCCTTTCCTCCAGTTATAATTCCCTTAATTTCTCTATTGTAAGTTGAAAATATTTTATTGATAAAGAGCAACCCTGTCGAAAACTCCTCTCAAAATATTTTCAGACAAAAACCCATTAATTTTAACTTTAGAATTTATGTTATTATAAATTGTCTTAATATGTGAAATAAAAAGCTCTCCAAATCCAAAATATTCAAGACTTTTAATTAAAAAGGTTCTATCTACTCTATCAAAATACAGGTATACAGCTTTCACCTATATTCCTGTATTCTATAGATGTTCACCACATCTATAAAAAAAATACACAAATCTAGTTTATCAGTGTTAGAAATACTGATAATGTCTCTTGAGTAGCTTAGATTGTTTTTTATAGTTTTATTTTTAATTGAGCCCCTTTTGTCGCTATTTATTATTTTTGGTAAAATCTTTTCCAATCTATTTGCTAAAGTTTTTCTAAGAATTTTGTAGTCTACATTTGTAAGATATATGGGTCTCCAATGCTGATTTCTTTTTTATTACCTTTTTTGTATATACAAGTTATCACGGCTTGTTTTTGCGAAGTCGTCATTTCCCTAGTATTTAATACATTGTTTGGTGTTTCTTTAAGATCATTTTTTATTAAATCGTAGAAATGTTTATAATATTTTATAGTAAGACCGTCAGAACCCGGCGATTTATTGTTTTTCATCTGCGAAAGAGTTTTTTTCGATTTCGTGATCCGAAATTTCTTTTTCTAATAAAGCAAAATCTTCTTTATCAACTTTCTTAACTCTAGAGTTAAGGAAAAGAAATTCTTGAGAATCACTATTAATTTTTTTATTTTTATGAAATTTTTTATAAAATTCTTGGAATTCAAGTAATATATTACCAGAGAATTTTGGAATTCAAGTAATTTATCTAAACTGCTTATGGGTTAGTTTTTTTATTTACAAGTAGTCGCTAATTTATAACAAATCTTTTTATGTTTAAAATAGGGTGATATTGCTTGTGGGTTCGTTTTTCTTTTTCTTTTTTTTTTTAATTTTTCTGTTAATTAAAATTAAGTTCATAATGCCGCTAGGCGGCAAATGAACTTTCTGCTAAAAGGCCGACTTTTTAGGGAGGCGGAAGCTGTAGGCGGCGGCCTCTCGTTAAATTTTTAGCTGCAAAACGTACTTTTTTCCGCTTTCAGTAGCTTCTACTCTTCTATTGGTGGCTGGAGCCAGAGTTCTTTTTTGAAGGCAAAATGTTTTGGAGGCCGACGACATTAGGGAGGCGGACGCGATTGGTGGCCGCCTCCAGAAAAAGTTTTGGAAACAGAATCATTTGGAAGCCGGCTTTATATATATAGCCTCCAATTTGGCGGCCGCAGCCGACTGGGAGGCAAAAGCTATTAGAGACGTCCTCCAAATAGTTTTGCCTCCAAAATTTCTACTGGAGGCGGCCGCCATTGGCCTCCGCCTCTCTCTATTGGCGTCGGCTTGAAAAATACTTTGCCTCCAAAAAGAAATTCTGACTGCGGCCGTCAATAGAAAGGCGGATGCCATTGGAGGCGGAACATAGAAAATTTTGCCGCTAAAAATTAATTTGGAGGCAGCCGTCGCCTGCTACGCAAAAAAAGTGGAGGCGAGAATGTTTACGCTGTTTAATGTTACGAATTTTATCGTAACTCTTGGTAAAAACTAAAAAGTAAAAAATAAAATATAGCAAAAACATTTGCTAAAAAATATAATCTTTTTTGTACTAAA